GATAGAAATTAAAAGTGTATATATATATATATATATATATATATATTTTGGAACATTCTCTTACCAAAAGGAGAATTTTCTAATGTATATCTATATATATATATTTTGGAACATTCTCTTACGAAAAGGAGAATTTTCTAATATATATATATATATATGGTGTATATTATATAATAAAGCTTTTGAAAAAAAAATATCTTATATTATATGTTACTTTACAAATATGCACGAAACTTTAGCAATTAATGTAAAAGTCGTGCTTTCTTATCTATTTCGTGTCTTTGTTGTGGCTTATTGATTTTCATTAATGCTAATTAATTTTTATGTATTTTAAAAGTAGGGGTCACAAATTTAGTAAAAACCCAATCTAGTTAAGTGAATTTTTAAAAATTAAATTAATCAAATTAAAATTTGAAAATAATGAAAAATATTTTTTTAATAAGCATAATATCCGAATGGAATAAAAATAAAATTTTAATAAGTATTTTTTTAAAAAATTATAAAAATTTATTACTATATTATATATTTGTGAAAAAGAAAGGAAAAAAATCCGCTCGAGATTTATTTAAAAAAAAACATGTTTGATAATTATGAAATTAATCTTAGTCGAATTTACACGTGACATTACATTCCTTGTCGATATCAGAATTCGACGAACATATAAAATACTTATGATCGATCGGGTCGATCACTTTCAACAAACAGATGACGTCATCTTTCCGGCGTCTTTCCGATGAAACTTTCCGGCAGTCCGTACGAATAATTTCCCGGAACGATTTGTCGGTCCGTCTCAATAAGTCGTAGGCCCACGCGCCGGAGATTGCGCCGACCACCGGAGAAATTATGTATATCCATAAATTATCGTAACATCCCCATACAATTGCAGGACCCAGGCTTCTTGCCGGATTCATAGATGCACCCGAAATAGGCCTAAATCAAATTTCCCATTAAAAAATATGTATCAATTTCAGTAAACTTTGAATGTATGACTTATTCGGATTTTCGATTCGATTACAGTTCGGTTATATTCAGATTCGATTATTTTGGTTTAAAAAAAATTATAACCGTTTGACTTTTATATTGATATCGGTTCAGTTCGGTTATATGTTCAGATTTGATTATTTTGGTTTTAGAAAAATTATAGCCGTTCGATTTTTATATTAAATTCGGTTCGGTTCGGAATAGTTCGGTTACGATCAAATTCGATTATTTTGGTTTATTTGAATTTCGGTTTAGATACGATTCGATTATATTCGGATTCGATTAATTGAGTTTTAGACAAACTATAACAATTTGGTTTGTATATTAAATTCGATTCCTTCAGTTTGGTTCGGCTAAGACAAAAATACTCATTTTGTTACAAAACTTTATGGTTTTTTCGGTTATTTTTATTTGGTTTATCTATTGTTTGAAAAACATTATAACCATTCGCTTTTGTATCGAATTCAATTTAACTACGTTTATATAACGCTTTTAATATTAATATTATATGATTTAGCTTAATTTTTTTATTCATATTTTATAAAAAAAAATATAATAGAAAATTTTGGGTTAAATATCATATTTACTTTCTATATATATGTACGTTCTATATATTTTAATAGATTTTTATACGTCGAATTCTCCAAAATTCTCAATATTTACTAATACTTCAGTATGTTATAAAAGTACGATATAAAGAGAAAGAACTTGCCCGGAGAAGAGGATGTCGAGGACGACGGTGGAACCGATAGCGACGCCGGCGAAGGGGCCGGCAGCTCGCTTGTCGGTGGCGACGGCCGATATGACGAACATCAGGTTAAACGTCGCCACGAACTCCATCACAAACGACGTAGTTTTGGACCCGGAAGGGTACGTCCCGACGAAAACGTCGCCCTTCCCGCCGCAAACGTCATCGTTCAGGTCGAACACCAGCCGTAAAATCCCGGCTGCGACCGTCGAGCCGAGGACTTGAGCCGCTATGTACCCCGGTACCTAAATCATCGAAAACACGATTATAGATATGTATCGAGACGTAATCAAATTTTGGTTCTTTTCCATCTGTTATCGTGAAATTCCGAATACTATACGATACCGTTTTCTAAACAAAACCGTTCAAAATTTATAAACGGTAATTTTTTAAAAATCAAATTTTTCGAAACCGAACCGAACCAAACACAATTTTTAAAAAAATCCAAGAAACCGAAAATTGGTTAACAAAGGTGGTGAATGGATGGAATTTTTATTTTGAGTTTTAGATTTGGTTTTTTGGATTTTTGATTTAATAGATTTGTAAATCTAAAAAATGTGCTTCTTGATTTTTAGTTGATTTTTTTTATCAAACAAATTTGCGGGTTTTTAAAAAAACTAAATTAAAAAAAAAAAACTTAATTGTCAACTTTTCCAGTCTTTGAAATCTAAAAACTCGGAAATATCTTCTCATTCAACACCAAAATCTAAAAAAAATCTTAATGGAAACTAAACCAAGCCAAAAATGAACCAAACCGAACTGAATACAAAATAATTATTGAATAGTACATATTTTTGTTAAACCAAAATAACCGAGCCTGTGAAAAGATCCCGAACCGAATCTCGAAACGCCCGGCGCTATAGAATGTTTCGGGTAATTTGGTATTTACCTGTTTGAGAGGGAAGTTTTTGGAAGAGAAAAAGGCAACGGAAACCGCTGGGTTGAAATGGGCGCCGGAGACGTGCCCGATGGAGTAGATCATGACCGTTACGGTGAGTCCCCATACCAAAGCTATCCCCGGCAACGTCACGGCTTTTCCGTATCTCTCGTTCACCACGATCGCCGAGCATCCCGCGAATACCAGCGCGAATGTTCCGATAAATTCTCCGATTAGCTGCGGAAAAAAATATCACGAGATATATTCGGTATAATATATAACATTTATAAGGAGTCTATATTAAAAAATAATAAATAAATTTGAACCAAATAGCACGCAACTGTAATTGAATTTGAATCCGGAATAAAAACCGAATGGTTATGATATTTCTAAAACCAAAAAAAAGCAAACCGAAAAACGTTTTTGTTTATGGGTATTTTGTAATAAAATTCAAACGGAACGGTAATAATTTTTCTGAAACGAAATAGTTGAATCCGAATACAATGGAATCGAACCCAAATCGAAATCTGAAATGAGCAGACACTCGTCAAAATATCGTTTTCTATGAATTACGAGGCAAGATAAAAGGGTCGTAAAAGTAAAACTATGGTGTAAACACATACACACTAAGGAATCACCTTTTGGACAAAGGATACAGATAATAGGGCCTGAGAGTTGACCGGCCGCCGGGAACCGCCGTGGCCACCACCGGAAGTGGCGGCGGCGGATTCGACGTCGGAGGAGTCTCCGGCGTGGCTCTGCGCATTCTCCGAGACCTCAGCCATGGAAAGAGGGAAGAGACCTTTTCTCCGATGCGGTCGTGTTTTCTTCGATCATCGAATATAAATCTCATTTATACCCTTTTTTCGTGGGATTCCAATAAAGTTGACTTTTGTATATTATTATTATTATTATTATTATTATTATTTCTTGATTTTATTTTTTTTATATTGAAATCATTTGTTGTTGTTTTTTCGTGTTAAGCATTGAGTTCAATGCACGTATATAAACAGAATTGGCCCTTTGGCTTTAAAATATGATCTAACAATGACATTAATATTTATCAAATATATGCATGAATATTATACAATCATTAACTGATGTCCGAAGGGTTCTGACCAAGTTTATTTAGGTGAATAACACAATGTCATATATAAAATGCCTATGTATCTGTGTATATTTGCATCTTAATTATATGCTTAAAAAGTTAATTAAATTAAATTAAATTAAACATTTTTAATTTCCCCATTTCCACCGCCGGAAAATTAGCTGTCAAAACGCCGACAACTGAGTTAAACTACAAATCTGTGTAGAACCAAACCAACCGATGAAAAAAAAAAGAAGCTTCTGTCTTTATAAAAAATAATATTTAAAAAAAAAAAGATAAGTGTATACCTTTTTTTGTGTGTGATATTATCAAGGAGATGGATTTTTTTTTTTTTTTTGGAAGACATTGAAGAAGAAGAAGAGAAGTCGCTAGAGATACTGTGACTGTATCCTGTCTCTGTTCTGCTCCCACCATGTCTTTGCATGCACTTCCCCAAACCTTTCCCGGCTGCATCAACATTAAGATTGTAAAATGTCGTCAATCATAGTTTGAAGGATCTTGCATATGATGGATATTATTCAAATCTATGGACCCCTCTTACTATCCGGATTCATATATAACCCAGGCAAAGAGTGGGCACGGGTCGGGTATCCGAAAAATTCAAGGAATCGGGACTCCTATCCATAGGATTCAGGTATTAAAAATTGATAACTAGTTTTGAATCAGTGGGCCTCAGGTAACCTGACTACGAGTATCCGACAAGATATTCGGGTACTCACGCGGGTATCCGGATCTAAAGACTGCTCGTAAAGGATCAAGGAATCTAACCGACAATGACGGGAAAGATGCTATGGACGGTGAGTCGGTGAGGGCTTGAGATGAGGTGAGAGTGTCTGTGGGGTGAGGAGAAGTGAGGTAGGGTGGGTTTGAGATGCGTGCATTTTCACCCGCGGGTACCCGTGAATGGTTTCATAATATCCGGATCTGTATCCGTATTTACAGGTACTTTCGAATAAAAACCCGTCCCAGACTCGTTAAAGGTCAAGTACCCGAAGAACATGCATCCACAGGTACCCGATTTTCGGGTATTTTTGCCCAACCCTAAGTAACAGTAAAGGTGCATGCTCTAACAAAAAGATTCAGACATGTTTCACTTGTATGTTCTATAATGTGAGTGTTTTCACAGGACTGGAACCCATAGCCACTACTACATTGATTTACCTGAATCAGACATGCCCTATGTAAGGTTTCCTGCACAAATATGCTTATAATGTAGAATAAAAGACTCAGTGTTTGATTGATTTACCTGAATCTGACACGGCGTAACTCCCTTGTCCCGTCAGCCAACTGCCTGATGGTGATGTAAACCCCGGGCTCGTCCTCTTCGACCCACTCAGCCTGCATTTCGCTCGCATTACTTATAGACGGTGGCTCATCTCTGGATGAAGTGGTGGTCCTTGCTGCATCCATGGAAGGTCCCGACTGGCCGCCGGTTCCGTAGTGGCTAGGA